CACGTAAGAGATATATTTTTCAGGTTCAAGGAGAGATTTATATGACGAGTAATGATTTAAGAATGGCGATGAAGTGATTTTTGAATACCAATTCTGGGTGTCTATATCTTTACATCTCTGTTTAAAAACACTTATAAAACTTGTTACATCGCAACATTCTTGCGATAACCACACAAAAGAAACCCAGAGTGAAATAAAAGTAAACGTACATGGGATACCCAATTGCGACCACCATTGTCGTCGTATGTTTTTAACAGTTCATAGTATGCCTTTGGAATACGATAACTTTCCATATATAGGAGTCTACACCAGTACTTTATACAACGGGTGAAATACTGTACACAAAGATGACTTCTACCCGTTTCACCGAGTACAATATTTGAAGATACAATTTTGCTAACACGAAGATATCTTTTGAAATAATAACTTTGCATTTTTTCAATATTTACACGATAGGTAAAACCCCATATTTCTGCACCTTAGAGCAGAATCGGTGCAATTTTACTATCAAATACGGTAGATGCCACATTCAAAGATATATTTTGATAAGTTTTAAAAAGAGAAAATATAGGAATTGAGGCCTTCCTGGCTTGTAAAGCTAATGTTTCACATGCTTTAGACCAGTACAATTTTTATGTGAAAACAATACCAAGATATTTATAATAAGATAAAACATTCATGTTTGTACCATCAAAAAGCCATTTTTCGTTATTTCGAAGATAGCCACCATTCCTGGAAACAATAATGCAGGATTTATCTAAGTTAATTTCTAGGCCCCATTTGATACAGAATGATTTTAGCCTATTACTGTGTCATCAATCAGAGTGACGTCATCTGCGAATAACAATAAAGGCATATCATTCTTACCATTTTTCACGAATATTCCTCGTAGGCCACATGCATTCATTTCATCTAATTCGTTAATAAAGAAAATGAAAAAAACAGGACTGAGAATGCATCCTTGTCGCAGTCCAAATGTTGTCGAAAATACTTCTGTGCGTACACTACTTATTTTCACACAAGCAGATACTTTATCGTACATGTTTTTTTGAGGATTCGTATTATTTTCCCATGTATACATTTGGAGATAAGAGCATACAAAAGCTTGTTTCTGCCTATATAATCAAAGGCCTTCCGAAAGTCAATGAAAGCTGCGTAAAACCGATGTTTAGGCTTTCTTAAATACTTCTGTCATAGTGCCTGTAGAACGAACATATTATCAGCTGTTGAGTAATCGGGCCTCAACCCTGCCTGACATTCATGTAATATTTCGTTTAGATCTAACCAGATACGTATTCTGGCTTCGAGGATAGAAGTGAATATTTTACCCATTACATTCAACCAAGATATCCACGATAGCTATTTGGCTCATGAGCGCTACCTTTTTGATGAAGTGGAATGATCAAACCAACATTCAATACCTGGGGATTTACCAGCTTTTAACACTTTGATTACATTTTCTATTTCTGTTCTGGTAATTGGTTCAGATAGAAAGTCTGTATTGTTATAATCCGCGCAGTAATCATGCTGTGCCAAAAATGCGTCAAAATGAAATCAACATTGGTTTCAGCCAGTAAAACTTATATCTTTTAGAACTTTCGCATTCTTCATCAAACCGTTTAGAATAAATATTCTTTGTTTTCGTGAACTGAACATCACGACATTGAAAGTGATTTCCCACATAGTGGAGAAACCCAACAAGTTTCTCGCTGGCACCATTGACATCAGAATAGACTAGATCAAGAAACTCATCTTATATGCAACTCGCTGTACTAGACGCTAAAGACTCATTGAACTGGTCTAATTCACCATTATTCTACCTGAACTTTACGAGTTTTTCACACTCTACATGTCCATCACTGACCACTTGAGAGTTATCCCCCACAATCACCGACACACACCTGTACAATACACGATAGAGGGAGGTGGTCAGAGTCTGACCGCGAGTGGACAAATATATCCTTAATCAAGTAAAAACAACTAGTCGACGCCAAAATCAACAAGGCTTGAACCATTGTGTGTAATACATGTAATAGACCCAGTTTCGTCGCCTTTTTTCCTACCATAAACTTTATGTATACCCCATACCTTGCACACTTCTAGCAGAGCCAGGCCATACATGTTAACTGTAGTGTCTTGTGTTGCTCTAGTTTCATTGAAACTGTCGGGAAGATACACATCTGATAATGGCAAGAAGTTCAAATCACTGTCATTTTCCAGCAAATAATCCTCGTTTGAGCCACACTAGAATTGAAATCACCTAGAAGTATTACAGGAATATCATCACGTAATTAGCTCTAATAGTAGCTATTTTAGAATCAAGCTCATCAATGCCGTTAGAATCTAGGTCAACATAAAGTAGGGATCCTTCTGGTAGTATATAAAGGAATCCAACAATGAAATTACTCTTAAAGTGGAAAAAGACGCTATTCTCCCAGTTAAGATATATTCTTTGGCAAACCTTCGCAAACACTTTTCGAATATAAACAGCCACACCCCCAGAGTAACGACCATAGTTTTGTAACCGTTTTGCAGGAGATACATGACACATAAATTCTGTAAATAGACGATAAAGCGTATTGGAATCGCTACATCCCGTCAGTATAACTTGAGGCCATAAGTAAAAGCGATAATCTTCCGCTAGCCGTTTTTCAATGCGTCAGACAAATCTTCATGTGAGACTGCCCAAAGAACAGATCTGAGCTGATCTAAGCTGTTAGAGAGAACAGATCATACAAAATACCTACTCACACCATCGTTAGAGTCAAGTTATTAATTTATGCTCAATAAATCAATAAAATACATTTGCAGTGCACAAGCCTCCATACATTTGGTGCATTTTCAATACACATATATTATTACTGCTGTCTTAGGGTGACTGGGCTTCCTATTTCCATCATCTCTTTTTTTCGACTGGGTGAAAGAACGACCTTTTTTAACGCTGATTTTAGAGAGAGAGAGAGAGAGAGAGAGAGAGAGAGAGAGAGAGAGAGAGAGAGAGAGAGAGAGAGAGAGATGAAGTGGGGTTTAGCGTCGCACTTTAGAAGAATATTTCGCTCATATGACGACGTGCATGCGTGTGTATGTGTGGCTGCTTGTACTAACCCAGACTTAAGCTGGTTTTATATGCTAGCTCACTGAGATACCATGCTGCAGTTAAGCATGAATACCCGACTCACACACATTATACTGACTCCTTGTTGTACCCATTAATGCCGAGCGCCAGGCAGGGACCAACAAGTACCATATTTTAACGTCTTTTGGTATGACGCGGACGGACATCGAACCCGCGACCTTCCGTTCTCCGGGCGGACGCTCTAACCACTACACCAGAGAGAAAAACACGCACACACACGTGCGTAAATATTCGGACTTGTATCAAGCTATGCGATACAACACTTGTGAAGAAACCTGGAAAAAAAATAAATGAACACTTGTGCTTTCATGTGGTCCCTTATTTTTCCCCCTCAGTATATAAAGCAAGAATGGAATATAATAATAATGAATCTTGGTGAGGGGAAGTGAAGATAAAAAGATGGATAAACACTATAGATAACAGATGGATCAACACCTTTAAAATTCGACATCCGACAGCAACTTGGAAATTTTTCATCACCACTTCTTTAATAGAATATGAATTTTACAAACCTGCATCACGGTCACTTTCGAACTTTGACCGACCAATGAAAGGACTAACAGAAAGTCGACATTAGCCAAAAGGAAATCCGTTCTCTGGAGCATTAGCGCACAAGCTTCAAATTGACGTGATATAACTAGCATACTGTCAAAAACAAACTCATTTGTCCACTCTGGATCTTGTTGTAATGAGGCTGTCCAAACCATCCACCTTTTCGAACATTGATGCTGAGGAGCAGTAACCCTTAGAGGTGTATGAGTTAAGTGAGTGAGTTAATATTTAACGTCACAGCGGCAATATGTCAGCCATATCGTGAGGAGAACAAAGAATATGTATATATTATAAAACAAGTCGTCACAGGACAGAAAAACAACCAGACTATCACAGTTTGAATTTAAAACTAGCATGTGAAGTTAAAACTAATAGCACTATTTGTACAATACATGATATAAAAATAGGCTATAGATCGCCAACAACTGACGGTAGATCGCCATACTAGGGACCATGCGGACTTACATTACTTTTGCTACCTGCATGGACCCTAGTTAGATGTACACCATCCCTTCAGCCGATGGCGATTGAAAGAAACTTTAGCCGAAATTTCAAATAACAAAATACTACGTTTTAAAAAATTGGTAAGTTTAAATTTCACTTTGAAAGTTTTCGGACTTCCGTACCCTCTCAGGGGGAATTTTAGAATACTTTAACCCCCTTTGAGGATACAGCCACTAATAATCGTAGATGTTAATTTATACTACCATTGATAAGATCACAATTATCTATTTACAAAACATATTTTTTTAGAATGTATCCAATAATGCTATTTCTTTTATATGAGTTAAGACACAAACAGAGATCACAGTTAAACCAAAACATACGCTACAGACACTTTGCAGGCACACTTTCACTAAGTGAAATGCAGCTAACCTGGTAAGGCATAGTATTTCCATATACGTATGAAAACATATACACGAAGAACTTAGTTAAGGACCCCGTGATATATCTCACGATTAAATAAGCCCCGATATTAACCCTTTGGAGCATATCTTTGACATGATTGGTCGTCGTGTGCAACACGTTCATCCTCCTATACAGAACATAGCCCAATCGGAAGCTGCTTTACACGAGATATGGCATAGACTTCCCCTTCAGGGGATCAGGAGGCTGACAGGGGGTATAAAGAGGAGAGTGCTCGCTGTCATACAGTCACATGGAGGTTACACAAAATTCATAATTAAACATTCGAGGGCCATTCTTGTACACATAGGGTTTGGTATGAAAATCAGTGTTTTTTAAACAATGGTGCAATTATCATCATAAAATCAACATGGATTCCAATCATTTTGTCGCCTGTGTAAAATGCAGTGTAATATTTAAAATCAACATCAAGCTATGGGTCCTCTCCATTGCATATAAAAGAATCATGTTGTTTAGTTCTCTCTTGTGCAATCTGGTATCAAGTAATATACACTTGTTGTAATTTAGAAAGAAGTAACCGAAGTAATTCCATCACGGTTGTGATTCAGTTTGTAAAACACCTCAACATATCCATACTACCTATTCATCAACGTAGCTTCATGTTCGAATGGTGTCGACCTGGAAACTTACCAATGTATGAAGCCAAAGACTTGGACTTCGCAAAACTGCAAAATGTCGTGATTGTTATTGGTTTTCGTTCCACTAATTCTCAGGTAGCGTCCAGTCACGGTTGAAGTACACTGTAGGGCAACTGTCTTGCCATGCTGTGTGACGGCACCGTTGTACATGTAACACAGTTGTGGACTAGCATTGGGGTCAACAAGAGGGTTGACCTGGTACACGTCCAGAGCAAAGTCGTGAAGGCGTTCAGCTGAAACATAAATACAGGTCTAACGTACAATTTAGGCTTAACTGGAAAATTCTGATTGTATGATAGTTTATCGGTATACAAGGCATTGACATGTAGGAATGTGATATTTGGACACATGAACAAACACTAAACTTTCTTTTATCCGTTATATCATATGTTATATTATTTGTTTCCAATGGACTATGAGAGATTTTAGTGTTTGGCTACCTAAAAAATAGAAAACAAACAAACAAAAACACACGATAAATCGCTACCGAAATATTATGTTAACAGAGTAAAAAAGCATTTATTTTTTCTTACGACAACAGTCTCCTCTACTGGTGACACGAACTTCCACAAAGAGATACAAGTGACCCAGGTCCACCTGCCACCAAGGTGAGAAATCACCATGAGCAACAGCAAAACAGGAGCCAGATGACCACGCTGATGAGTTACTCCCGTCCACTGCAACACTAGGTTGGTGCCCCCAAACAGAACTTGCATTTGTTGTTTTACCTTTCGCAACAGTAGGTAAATGGTCCTCTTAAAAAAACAAAAGACACACCCTTTTTCACAAAACCATCATGGTCATTTGATGTGGTTTGGAAGCATTAGGTCTTTCGTACCAGTAAGAAATGAAACTTAAAATTCATTAAATATTGGAGGGGTGTGGAATTAACAAATCAATAGGTGGTAACAGACATGAGGTTAACCGGTTTAATGAACACCTTTCCGTTCGTGCCTATTTAAACTGCTGAACGTACGTCCTTCACTTGACAAATTATGTATAGCTTTGAATGGAAAACAGTTTCATCGAATTATATTCCTGAAACTATACAAATGTACACATATTGTTTAGATTTGTTTTGACCGTACATAATCTATTGAAGACAAATCAGAGAGGTATGTGACCTCAGTTTAACTATTCTTTTCAAACAACATATGTTGAAGTTAAGATTTCGCGTGGGAGTGAGTGATAGTGAGTGAGTATGGTTTTACGCCGCTTTTAGCAATATTCCAGCAACATCACGGCGGGGCTTCACACATTGTACCCAAGTGGGGAATCGAACCCGGGTCTTCGGCGTGACGAGCCAACGCTTTACCCACTAGGCTACCCCAGGGCCACCGCCCATTTCGCGTGGGAATTAGTGTCTGCACACTGACTAGGATGATCTGACATCAGTCTGGTCTCTCCTGAGAAATATATATGACTTGTCTTCGTACATATCTTCAAGAATTCTTATTCCCAATTATATGTTTGCATTCTTTCGGGTGGAGTTATAATCAGGAAGACGCATAAACTGCTGCCTTTGTTTCCCCAACAGATGCCATTTCATTCAATTATAGTATGGCCAGAACTTTTCTTGAAACTGCAAAAAAGCCACGGATATGCACTTCTTATCTCATTGACAACTTCATACTAATTAATGAGGGGGGATATAGTCGACGCCTCGTCCGTCTGTCCGTCCGTAATCATTTTGTTTCCGGAGCATAACTCAAAACCGTTCAATATTGTTTAACACAAATTGGTGTATATGTCAGACATAACCTGAAGTGGTGCCTTTTGCTATTTACAAATATTTTCATTTTATTTATCTCGGTTTCCACCCGTGAAGGTCCGGGTTAGAATTGATCTTCAGTAACCCATGCTTGTTGTAAGAGTAGACTAACGGGATCGGGTGGTTAGGCCCGCTGACTTGGTCATAGGTTCCCAGTTGCGTAGATCGATGTTCATGCTGTTGATCACAGGATTGTCTGGTGCAGACTCGATTATTTACATACCGCCGCCATATAGCTGGAATATTGCTGAGCGCGGCGTAAATCTAAACTCACTCACTCACTTTCTCAGTTTCTATGGAAACGATTCGTACTTTGTCTCAAAAGGGAGGGATGGGCTTCGTTTCCAGAGCACAACTCGAAAACCTTTTAACATCTTTCAGCAAAACATGACAGATATATGAGACAGATCCCAAAGTGGTGCCTTTTGCTATTTGCAGAGTTTTGGCATTTTTACTTTTCCCGGTTTCCATGGAAACGAATCGGACTTAATCTCAAAAGGGAGGGATGGGCTTTGTTTCCGGAGCACAACTCGAAAACCATTCAATATCTTTCAACAAAACTTATCAGATATATCCAACAGAACCTAAAGTTGTGTCTTTTGCTATTTACAGATTTTTAGCATTTATATTTTCATCATTTCCATGGAAACGGTTTTTATTTAGTTTAAAAAGAAAGTTGAGATGATTTGTTCTTTCAAATATGTGGGGACCGGGGGGATTTGTCATCTTCTGATTGTTTATATTATATTATAACCTTATTAACACAAGACTGGGTAGTTATATGTTACGTGTGTAGTGACATAACACAATGAGCGAGTGAGTGAGTTTAGTTTTGCGGCGCACTCAGCAGTATTCCAGCTATCGGGTCTGGACAAGCCAATCCAGTGATCAACAGCAAGAACATCAATCTACGCTATTTGGACACGATGACGTGTCAACCAAGTCACGAGCCTGACTACCCGATCCCGTTAGTCGCCTCTTACGACGAGCATGGGTTACTGAAGATACATTCTAACCCGGATTTTAACGGGTACATGACACAATGAAGTGACAAATTGGATTGCTGTTTATATGTAGGATGAAATCCATTGTTAACATAACATACCACAATGCACGATGCCATTTCTCTTGAAATTACATCTCTGTGTGTATCCGCATGGGTTCTCATGACATGGACCAAGTGCTGTCTGTAAATTAAACAAAATAAAAATAAATTACAGTGAGTGAGTGAGTGAGTTTAGTTTTTTACGCCGCTTATATTCAAGCAATATCAGGGCGGGCAAAATAAATTACAACACGGAAATGTAAGCCCGAAAATCAGAACTGTCAAACGGCTGATATGACATAGACCAAGTCTGAGAATTGAAAAACTATAAACTATATATACATATACAGTACAACCCGAAATTATTGAGAATTTAAGATTGTAATTTTTTATATTTTTTTCACTCATTACTCACGTATTAAATGTGAATATTAGCAGAACATAACTTCAGATTCATACACAGGTGAACAGTTAGTATTTTGTCAAGTCACCATGGGCAGCAATGCAGGCTTCAATGCGGCGGGGCATACTACTGATCAAAGAAGTTAGAAAGTCGTGGTCCATGCTCTCCCAATATCGGACCACCTGTTCTTTCAAGAGGCAATATTTGTCAGATTTTTCTTATTGACACTTTCCTTCATAAGTCCCCAAACATTTTCTAATGGATTTAGGTCAGGGCTATAGCTTGGCCAATCTAATAATGTCATATTTTGGGTCCGAAACCAGGCCTGTGAATGCTTTGAACGATGTTTTGGTCATTGTCCTGCTGGAAAATAAAAAAATTCCATAGAACAAGTGAGCAGATGGAAGTAATGTCCCTCGATAATATCTGTGTACTGATCACTGTTCATATTCCCTTCAAATACACAGAGGGGCGTTGCCCCTAACACAGATATGCCCCCCTACACGTTAAATTTCGGACTGTACTTTGGGTGCTGATACAAAGGTTTTTCAGTCTGTTTGGTCCAGAATTTCAGTGTATTAGGAAACAGCCACACAGAACTTTCATCTGAGAAAATCACATTGTCCCAGTTAAAACTTCTATGCTGTAAGCACCAGTTCAACCTTCGCTCCTTTTGTTCAGGTTTCATGATCGGTGATGGAATTCCTCGACTTTTCTGCCAACCCATTGCATGCAGCTCAGTTCTAATTGTCTCCTTACAGACAGCCACAGTTCCTCTATCAATCATATCCAGCCTTAAGTTTTCTAAACTCCTTCGTTTGTTTTTAGAAACAAGAATACCAAGCCGCCTCCTGTCACCGACAGTCAAGTTTCTTGGCCTACCTGCGCCTCCCTAGTGCTCAATGCCATATCCATTTGCAATATTTTTCAAAACACGATAAACAGTGGACAAAGGGATGCCTGTTCTACTTGAAATCACTTTAGCTGATCTGATGTCCTTGTTATAATACTCTAAAATCAACTTCCTCTTCTCTAAATCATCCATACTGAGGATCACTGAAAATGTCGTCTGCTAGCAAGTAAACAAAGGGGGGATAACTCTTCACAAACTAATGAAAAGGATTAACGGAGTTGTTTCTCTTGAATGAAACCAAGCATTTGATAGCTGGTCAAGGTTGTTTATACTAGAAATCCAATTAAACATATTCCTAAAATTCTCAATAATTTCTGGTAATACTATAGGTATATAAACATAGACGAGCGCGCGCACGCACGCACGCACGCACACACGGACATACGCACACACACATCGTGTGATATACAATCCCAGGGCCCTGTTCCTGAAAGCGATCGTAGCGCTAAGATGATCGTAACTCCCATACTTTAACATAGACTTACGACTGTCGTAGCGCTACGATCGCTTTGAGGAACGGGGTCCAATCAGCGATCTGTCATATGTGCTGTGAATTCCTTGATACTGACCAAAACTCTTTGTTGCAAAATAGAGGGGTGACGATACAGAAATTTCACGATACGATAGTATCGCAATATCTTGGAACGATACGATGCGTATCACGATATGCTATCTTTAGTTATTTTCTTTTCAAAAGTGTAGTTTGATAACAAGTAACAGTGTAAATTTTGACATAACCGTAAATGTCTAGTGAAAATTCACAATTTTAAGGTCAACGATACATATCACGATACGAAGAAAAGTAACGATATACTTATTGTCAGAAAAAAGTATCACTATTATCGATACTACGATATATCGTCACAGCTCTACTGCAAAATATTACTGGTCTGCCGTGGTATCTATACATAAAATTCATTAAAATGTTATAGTATTATTCGATATTAATATCCAGCACGTCACGCCGAAGACCCGGGTTCGAATCCCCACATGGGTACAATGTGTGAAGCCCTTTTCTGGTGTCCCCCACCGTGATGTTGCTGGAATATTGCTAAAAGCGGCGTAAAACCGAACTCACTCAGTCAGTGATATCCAGCAACCAAGTAAAATGACCACAGACGCCGCCCATAAACTCTTCAAGCTACTTCATGTTTTACCCCATAAGCTATCATCAATTTGTCCGTCAGAAACCTATGATTGTCAGTTCGAATCCCTGTTTCTAGTTTTGTTAGCACCATACGCCAGGCCTGCTAGTTGTTTCACACCAGAACTGCATTACTTCGGGCTTTCATCCCACATCAAGCAGACACGATATGACCGGTGTACTGTTAAAGACGGCGTAAAACCCAAATACACTCATTCACTCTCTCCACAAGGTACTTCCATTTAAATCCTACCTTGTTCCAACTCATAATTGAACTGTAAACATAATTCTGATCGTTCCCTCCTTCCAAATATTGGACGTCATCCAAAAAATTTAGATGACACACTCTCCGGTCTAATTCCAAATTGAAGGATTTGCATATTCCATAGGAAACACATTCAGCCGCACAGGAAAACAGAGAGGCCTTCTCAGTGATCTTAAAGGTTGATCCAACGAGGTGTTGTCCATAATGAAGATTCGGCATACAGGTATTGGTTAACTGCACCATGCTCAGGAGTATTTGACAACAAATGTATATGATTCCCACATACACAACTCGCTGAAAGGACCTGTACATAGCGTATGACTATGGACAAGATGGAAACAGTTGTCTTCAAAAAGAATTTCTGAATTCGAAATTGTTCGTTTTCTCAACGCCTAATGGGCAGGCATCGGGAAGAAGTCGCGTCGTGCGAATAAGTTAATTATATATTTGGAAAGTAAACCGTCTCTTCAGAAAATGTTTCAGGAACAAGCAAATCAATAGTATTGATCAGTTACTGAGCAGTTAAATGTGATGAACACACGACTGGATGTTTGTTAAATCTATATCTGTCTACTGCCAGTGTATGTCATTACCGGGATTCACATCGAACTCGATCACACATGTTGGAGTCAATAATCGGAATGTTCATCATTCTGTATTTCTGTATAAACTTGTTGGCAAGGGTTACTCAGAGTTGTTGAGGAGTTTAAAGTCGTTATTATCCGCCTCGATTCTGGTCTTTTCCTATATGTATGGATATGGTGAATACATCGTGATCGAAATAGACAATAGTTTTATGAAACTAACAATTTCAAGTGGAAGTATTGACTTTGTTTCAGTGTTTCCTTCATTTTACAATCAGCACAGATACCTTTTATACCATTACCAAAGACCCACACTGCGGGTCTGAAAATCGATAAACTAAGCCCCGGTTTACTATACAGCCCCCTACTATATAGTATGTAAAGATTCATCACAGAAATACGGTGACCTGATCGTAAACCGGACAATACGCACACATCAAGGAATATATCGTATATTGTATTCGTATCATCGGTATAAATAGCTTTTGTCCATATTTCCGATGTGTGTAGTAGGCGTATACACATGCTATCCATAGGGAGTTGTTTTTTTAAATCGCCAAAGACTGAGTTGCTGTGCCGGAAGTATACACAACTAGATCGTCAGCGCCGGTCTTAACTTCCTTCAGCGATCTGATTGGCTAATAATAAAACAGCAAATGCACATGCGAAAATGAGAGGGAAATTCAAACGTCTTTCATAGACGATGTTTTGACGAGATGTCAAGGTCTCATGTTTTATCTTGGTAAGAAATTGAATAATTTTTAAAACGAGAAAATTATTTTTAAAAAACCGACATAATAATCGTTTCGTTCAGTGTAATGTGTTCTGCTAACGACCTAGTTTGACCTAATTGAACAGACAATCCAGTGACCAACAGCATGAGCATCGATCTACGCAATTGGGATTACGATGACATGTGTCAACCAGCCAGCGAGCCTGACCACCCAATCTCGTTAGTCGCCTCTTACGACAAGCAAGGGTTACTGAAGACCAATTCTAACCCGGATCTTCACGTGTCACATCATACACAGACGGTACGCATTAACAGCAATTCCGCTACATGCCTCAAACAAATATACTTATACCTTTAAACCGCCACAGTTTTTCAGTAAGTTAGATTGGCTGACTAAACAGCGGGGTCGTCCAATTTCAAAGCACAATATTTTTTACAGTTACAAAGTCTTTAGAGTGGCTTAAAAGAGAAGCAAACTATTGATCAAATTGTATTTTTCTTATCGAATAGTCATGCAGATGAGCCAATGTATCTGTCAGCTGAAAGCGAAAAACCTGGACCTGACATGCATGGGTCTTGTTTCCATAAGTCTCAGATAGCTGATTGTTGATGTACTGTTTATGACTTATGTCTAGCCATGCCCTGTAACTGCGTTGTATATACAACACATTGGTGCATATGCACTGCAAAGCCGCGGCGTTCTTCAGCTGAAAAATCTCATTTAAGCCAGATTACGATCAGGGTCCCGATTCACAAAGCGTTCGTAAAGTTACGATCGGTCGTAACTCTATGGTTTACCATAAGCTTACGAATGTCGTAGAGCTTTGAACGATTTGTGGATGTTCAATTAGCATGTTAAAAGTTGGGTGGTGAATCATTCCTCATGGATGACGACGTCTTTATTCAGTTTTGTTTGTTTGTTGTATAACTCAGAAATATTCCAGCTATATGGTGGCGGTCTGTAAATTAATCGAGTCTGGACCAGATAACCCAGAGATCAACAGCATGAACATCGATCTACGCAATTGGGATACAATGACATTGTCAACCAAGTCAGCGAGCCTGATCACCCGATCGCGTTAGTCGCCAATTCCAATTCT